GGCCCGCAGCGCGGGGCCCGGAGCGCGGTGAGTGTGGGCGAGGGCCCCGGCGGACGGCGGGGAGCGGGGCGGGAGGCAGTCTCGCTGCGCCCGCGCGCCCGGCATCCGGAGCGGCAGGGCCCCTCATCTCTGGCCCCTCAGCGCGGTCGCCCACACCCCCGACCCGAGGCCCCCTCTGCGCCAGCCCGGCCTCGATAGGCCCCAGGGTGACGAAAACTTTCCCCGGACCCGATACCTGGGTCTGGGCGACCTGAAGAAACCCCGCTGGCCCCCTCCCTTCCGAGACCTGGAGCCTCAGCCATGGGGGGGGGGGTCCCCCACTCCCGACCCCCCAGGCTCCCTGGAGACCCAGATAACGCGCTGCTGACCTTACCAGGGACCCGGGTCTGGGGGACGCAGATAAGCTGCACCTGCTTTCTCCTCTCAGACACGCCTACCCGGACCCACATAACCCCCTTTCCTGCTCCAAATAGTTCGCTCTTTCTCCTCTGTTTCATTTCCCAGAACCACATAACCCCTTTTGAGGCTTCCCCCAATTATTTGGTTCTGGGGAACCCAAATAATTTCTACCCATAGTTCCCTCCTCGGCGATCGTACTCCCAAACTCTAGACAGCTTCCACCCGGTACCATTTTGAGACTCTTGAAATTCAGGGAATTCGCTTTTATCTTAGCCCCTTTAACCCTCCAGCCCATATAATCCATCCCCCACCCCCCACCGCCTCTCTTTCTTTGCGGAGGGTGGGGTGGGGGTCTCTTAGGGATCGAGATAACTTGCTCCTCCCTCCCTTCCATTCCTGAGACCTCCAGACTTCTTCCTGAATTTCTGTCCCTGGTTCGGCAGCCGTCTACCCCCAGCCCTCCCAGCCCAGGGGCGTTTAACCTTTCCCCCCATGCAGTATGGTGGTCTAGAAACGAACCAGGAGACAGACTATCCCCTGCAAATCCTGTCCTGGCCCCATCTCGGTGGGGGAAAGGGACTTGTAAGGTGCAAGATAAGGGGACATCGGGTGTGGGGAGTTGGTACTTTCACCAGCAAGTGTTCCTGTGACCTGGCCTGTGTGTTTTCCCACCTGTCTGCCTGGGACTCTGAAAGAGTCTCGCCTGGGGTTGCTAACCCTACCGCCCAAGGTGAGGCCACGGGATTGTGGGGGGGCGGTGTCTAATCAGGTTTCCTCTTGGTGAAAATGGGGCTGTTGTGAGTTGCAGCCATTTGCTCAAGGCCTCCTTAGGAGTGGGAGGCAGCGGGAATCAGAGGAAATCATGAATCAAAAGGACTCCAAAAAGGGTCCATCTACACCGATAGAAGAACTAGCAGCCCCTGTTAATCCTGTTTGATGTCTTCTGGAATGATGCAAGTCAGTGAGACGCTCCAGCCTCCCTGTAATTTAATTCTCCCCCCACTCTGGAGTGTATGTGTGTTTGTGTGTGTGTTTTGTGGGGGGCAGCTATACCCTTTTCCCCCTTTCCTTCTCACTGTTCTCCAGTCAGTCAGTGTGTCTTTTGGATTTGTTTCTGATGCCCAGGTCAGGACCTGTTTTTTATCTCTAAGTCTATTTATAATTTCCCAGTTGCTATTTTGGCTTCTGCTTAAGGGAAGATTGTGTCCACCGCAAGGAAAGTTCCTGGGTGTGTTTCCTCCTCGGCAGGTGTTGAATTGAGTTCTTCAGATCCCCAAGTAGCTCTTGGGCAGCAGGGATAAAAGCTATTTTAGGGTAGTCACTGAAGTGGAGCTGTTAATCCTCTGTGGGTCTCTCTAGTTAAGAACACTTACAGATTAACCCTTTCCTTGGTGCAGGGGCGCTATTTCTTAACAGTTTTGGGGGGAGGTTTGAGAGAATTCAGCTGTGGCAGCAGAAGGTGGGAACATGCAACTCTATACAAAGGCAAAGATAATAGCTGCCTTTTGTTGGGTACTTAGAGCAAGCCAAGCCCTGTGCTGAGTCCTTTGCATACCTGACTAAAATAATCCTTACAACAAGCCTGTGAGGTAAGTATTTTTAGTTTTACAGATGAGGAAACAGGCTAATAATGGAGAAAGAACGCAGTCTCTATAGAGATGATGTAACACCATAAAAACTATAGTTTCATCAGAGGGCAGCAGGCATCATGGCACACAACAGAACAGACAGACGAGGAAGCGATTTGTCTCTTTTAAAGGCTTCCAAAGAGGGCCATACAGAGTTTTTAGCAAGCATTTGTATTTGGGGTATGGGGCCTTAATAACAGAGGAGATGCCTACAGTGAGGGAAAATCTGGCCCAGGATATGGTGCTGGAGGAAGATAAAGTAAGGGGGACTGGCTCCGGGGGATGTGCTGAGGGTTAATTGTGAGGGAAAAGGGGAAGGCTGCATTCTGGGGAGATGTTGGGAAGGGAAGGAAACTCACTCTGAGGCCTGAGAAGACTCATCTAGGGAGGAAAAAAAAGTAGTACTATTCAGGCCCTGTGCGGAAAAGAGGGAGACACAATTTAGACCTCAGAGGCAGCACTGTTTGTATTTACACGTTTTATGTCAGACATTTCAAGAGTGTTTCACTGAATCTTCCATGAGAATTTTATAGGTAAGGGAACAAATGTCTATTTTAGAAATTGAGGAAACTGAGGTTCAGAGAAACTACGTAACCTGCCCATGGTTTCACAGCCAGTAAGTGGCAGTCTTCTGATATGAAGTCCAAGGTTCTTTCCACAATACCTCCCTCTTCATATCAGACTCCAGAAGGAATCTTAGGATGAAAATATACCGAGTTACACCAGTAACTGGGAGGGATTGATTGTGTTTGTTTTATGGGAACAGGTTCTGTCAGCTTCTGTAGTTGTTAAGGTTTGAGTATGAGACCAGAAGAGCAGCTTTGAAAGAGAAGCAGAATTTTTTCACAGTTTTGCAGAGGAAGATGACTGAAGGAATAGGCCTTCGGATAATGTGGGAGAGGCCCAGGAATCCTCCTGGATGAAAGGAGTTTGCAGACAAGGGACAGAGGGAGAAAAACTAGATTTCCAGAAGGGTTCCTAAGGTAACACTAAAGCCATAGCCCCATTAAGTGCAAATCAAGGCAAGCACATGGCTGCTGCCTTCCTTCTTTGGTTCTATCAGTACAACCTTGAGAGCTCTTCTTAGCCACCATCAGCCTCTTTCCTAGAAGCCCATTACTCACTCTTCTAGCAGCAGCATACTAAACTGCTGTGTCATGTTTGTGCTTGCTCAGGAGAACAGATGAGGTGGACGTGTGGGAGATGGGGGACATACTGTTCTCTTTCTGAGTTTGCATGGAATTTCCAAAGCTAGGCTCCCCTCTCACATCAGCCAAAGTGATGTGACTTGCTTCCCTCTGGCTGCCATTCCCAACTTTCCAGAGGCTGAGGTGCATGATTTCACATATTGACCGGTGGGGGGGGCAGAATTTGACTTTGAAGGTGGGGGAAATTCCCTCCAAACTAGATGTTCAAATTCGTGCTCGCTCTCTACCCAATTCCAAGCTGCCTAGTAATCACTGGTATTATAAACAGGTAATTCCACCCTTTGGAAGAAGGAGGGGACTTAAACAATGAAAGCCAGACATCAGAGGCCTTTGAGGTTTATCGTGAAGCAGGCAAATATGCCATGATGACTCGAAGGCTCAAGTGGGACTAGTTTTTAGTGCTAACACGTGACTCATGCAAAATGCAGCCACCTTTGTGCAGATCTTTCTAGGCAAATCTCCACTCGTGATAGGGAGATGTTTATCATATTACATTGCAGTGTTTCTTCAACAAGAGGAATGGTTCCTGAACAGGACGTAGTTTATGTTAATGATGAGCAAAGCTCTCTCGGGCATAAACCCGCTGATCCCATCATCTCGTTCACGGCCAGCCTGTTGGTTGAATGGTCACTGTGAGCAGCAGGTGCTAATGAGCTGAGCAAGCATTCTTTGGCCCACAGCTAGTTTGTGCAATTGGAGCCCTCCCCAGATTCTCATGGACAATCCCCAGATACCCCTTTTGCTCCCTTCACATGGAAAAGCCTCATGATCAAATTTTGACATGACCTCTTCAAAGGAAATCCCCTTGTTATAGCAAGTTGCATTGGGGTTGGTAATCTTGTGTGATGAGCTTGTGAGTGTGAATGTGGCTCTGTTGTCCCCCTTTTGAGAATCAGTATGGTAATGCCCTTTCTCTCTTCCTCTGAGTTGAGTCAGGAAAGTTGTGTCACCTTTGCTCCCCCGCCCCACTCCACAACCCAGTAGCAAGCATCAGACTTCAAGATATTGGCTCCCCACTTTGGAACTCAGTTTAAACCAGAACTTCCTGAGCATGTTAGCCAATAAGAATCCACTTGCATTCAATGACTGATTTACTCATTTGAAAGAAAGTTGAAAGTCCTTTTCTAGATGCTAGGTGTGTGGAGATGAAAGAGATGTGATCTGAACTCTCAAAGAATCAGAGTTTGGTGATGGCGTCCAAGTTCTAATGCAAATGTGTTACTTGCTCATAATGGAGACATGCACGTGTTCTATGAGGATCTTTGGGACCCTCAGCACCACTCAACACCTTGTGTGTTCGACGGACTTTGCTAAAGAAGTATGGTTTGGGCCCTGAGACCAAGAGACCCAGAGTGGTGGTTGAGGGTGGGACAGGACCAGTACTGGTTTAGTGGAAATGCTGAGTCTGCTGTTGCCTTCCTCAGACAGAACCTCAGAAACACATCTGCTAAGAAACACATCTGGCGCAGGGGCTGACTCTCCAGGGTGTAAATTTCCTAAATAATGGCTTCTTCTTTCTCCTCTGATGCCTTTTGGGCATTTTATTGCTCCTTAGCACCTCTATGAGGAGAATTGTAGAAAGTGAGGAGGAGGTAGGGTGAAGAGGAGGAGGAGGTGCTGCTATTTCTAAATTTAGTGGAAAGGATGTAAAAGTGAAGTTAGAACGGAAAGTCTGGAGTTTAGGGCTTTTACTTCCTCTGATTATCCTGTTTTCCTATTAGCCTAGGTGGTACTTGTAATAATAGTTACCACTAAGCACTAGGTGCCTAGCCTTCTGCTGAATGCTTTATATTTATTATCTCATTTAATCCTCAAAAGATCCTTATGATGTAGGAGATTATTAAACCCATTTTGTAAATGAGGGAACAGCTCAGGGAAGTAAGTAATTGGCTGAAAGTCACATGGCTTCTAAGTGGAAGGGCTGGGATGGAACGGGGATCTCTCTGCCTCCAGAGCCCATGTTTTCATGGTATTGGGCTCCCTAACACCAGGTGTTCTGATGTTTCAGGTGAAGAGATTGTTTTCTGAAGGCTGCGTTGGAGGCTGTGACAGAGCACAGAGCCCTGTGGAGCTGATGGGGAGGCTTTCTCAATAACATGGCCCTTCGCCATTAGCCTTGCCATGACCACATTTTTCACCAGCGTACCCCCCTGGATTCAAGATGCAAAGCAGGAGGAGGAAGTGGGCTGGAAACTAGTTCCCAGGCCTCGGGGCCGGGAGGCGGAGAGTCAAGTGAAGTGCCAATGTGAAATCTCGGGGACACCCTTCTCAAATGGGGAGAAGCTGAGGCCTCAGAGCCTCCCCCATCCAGAGCAGAGACCGTATAGCTGCCCTCAGCTGCACTGTGGCAAGGCGTTTGCCTCCAAGTACAAGCTGTATAGGTAGGTGATACTCCCATACTTCTTCCTGCCCTGAGGTTTCCAGAGGATAAAGCCAGAGAGACTCCACTGAGTGTGGGACTTTATCTGTGGCAGAAGAGTAGAGGTTAATTTGTCCCATAAGTGTACCCTGAACGTCAACCGTTTGAGGTCACTCACTGAAAAATAATGGTGGTATTTTTTATTCAAACACTAGAATCTGATGGGTACAATATCAGATAGCCATGAACAAACTAGATAGAATTTTTTTTTCCAATACAGGTATACCTCATTGTATTGCACTTCACTTTATTGTACTCCTCAGATACTGCATTTTTTTACAAATTGAAGGTTTGTGGCAACTCTCAGTCAAGAAAGTTGGCCCAGTTTTCCAGCAGCATTTGCTCACTTCATGTCTCTGTGTCATGTTTTGGTAATTCTCACAAAAAAAGATTATAGCTTGCTGAAGGCTCAGATGATAGCTAGTATTTTTTAGCAATAAAGTATTTTTTAATTAAGTATATACATTGGTTTTTTAGACATAATGCTATTGCACACTTAATAGACCACAGTATAGTATAAACATAACTTATATATATATAACTTTTATATATATAACTTTATATATATAACTTTTATATATATAACTTTTATAACTTTTATATGCACTAGGAAACCAAAAATTTCATGTGACTCCTATTATTGTGATGTTCACTTTATCACAGTGGTCTGGAACCAAACCTGCAATATCTCTGAGGTACGCCTGTGCTGCTTTCCCCACCTATGTCAGGTAATGGTCAGAATATTAGCCCCAAATTAGGAATCAGTTTTAGAAGTTTAGAAGGAAAAGGAGACCCTCAGGTCCAATCTGTAAATTTTAAAGTGCAGGCTCAGAGTGGAGAAGTAACTTACCCAAGGTCTATAGCTTCTTAGGTCCTGCAGTGTCTCTTCTACTGAACTAGCATGCCACTCAGATGATTACTTATGTCTCTGTAGAGTCCCTGGTGTCCTCTGGGTTGGAAGATTTCCTGAAACTTCTAAGTCCAAGAACCCCTACTTAAAGTGAAATGGAATGTGAAAGCCCTGGTGTATAGCAGATAATGACAGAGCAGCTTTGAAGGGAGGGGGGCCCGCTCGGACGTAATTTTGATTTTGCCTTTCCATCAGAGGACCATGAACATGCCCTTTACCAATAACGTAGACTTCCCTGATGCACAGTCATTCATCTCTTGACTATTATTTATTGATCTCCTGCCACATACCAGGCACAGTGTTCAGTGATACGGACAGAATAGTGAGCCAGACAGATGGGGGTGCTGGCCCTCCTTGAGTTTACTGTCTAATAGCAGGGACAGACAGTAAATGAGTAAATACAAGAACAAGATGACCACAGAAAGCCTCAGTTCCTTGTTTGGAAAACAGTTGATAGGAAGGAGCTAAAACAGGTAACAGGGTAGCGTGTGGCCAGGATTGCCCTCATGACAGTTCTGTTGTCCTCAGGAATGCTTTGATTCTGTGTGCTCCTCTGTCTTAGGTGGATTCCAGTTGGGGCTGTCCTCTTAGACTTTCTTAGTGACAGTCTGAGTGTCAGTGGGAGGCTACAGGAAAGGTCCTGGGCCAGGAGACAGGAGCCTTGACTCCACCCTTAGTCACTGTATTTTAGGTGAATTACTAAACCTCTCTGGGCCTTTGTTTCCTCACCTTCAAAATGAGGGAAATAGACTGGATCACTCAGCATCTCCCTCTCATACGTTTTCTTGCCAGTTGTGTCACAGGAGGTTAATAGTAACCCTCATAGGTGTGAGCATTCACAGATAGCATGAGAGTAATGGGTACGACTGATAAGAATCACTGGGTGCTGTGCAAGAGACAGCAGTGGCGTACCTAAGTGAACCTAGGTCTCAAGAAGGTCTGTGTTTAAATTCAGCCTCTGCCACTTACTAACTGGTGGGTGGGGCTGCCCTGTGCTTCAGCCTCTTATGGAGAACAAGGTTAATCACACATCTCACACAGGGCTTGCAAACCGTGAGACTCCAAAGTCTTGCTGAGTTGATTCTGAATGTACTATGGAGCTCTGGATTGCAGTTCCTGAAATCTGAGCTGCTTTTCAGACAGAAAGGAGCAGGAGCAAACCAAGGGACACTGAGGTGCCAGATCACTAAAAAAAAAGGTTTTAAATGTTGCTGCTGTGCTCGCTTCGGCAGCACATATGCTAAAGTTAAATGTTGCTGCTTTGTGTGGCAAACAATTTAAATGGTACCAATGGACATGCAGTGAAAAATGAATTGTCACACTCGAAGCCACTATTCTCCTCCCCAAAGGCAGTTTCTTGTATATCCTTGTTGAGACATTCAAACATTCCTTCTTTATTTTCACAGGGGATTGTATTACACACACTATACTGAACTTCCTTTTTTGACTTGGCTCCCTATATCTTCGGATATTGTTCCAGATCAGGAAGTTTAGATATATTTCATTTTCCCTTTATTGTGTCATTTAAATTTTTATAAATACGCTTTTTTTTGCAAAGGAAATGCATTCAAAATTCAAAAGGTATATAATGAAAATTCTCCATCACACCCATAAAAGCTGCCCATTTCTTCTCCCCATAGGTAGCCAATGTTGTCAGTTTCTTGTGTAGCCTTCCAGAAATATTTTAAGCTCATACAAGCAAACATACATATATCTTCCCTCTTTTCATATGTATAGTATCATTCCATAGGCACTATTCTGTCTCATGGGTTTTTTTGACTTAAGTATATCTAGGAGCTTGTTACCTGTGGTACCTATAAAGCTGCCATTATTTTAAAAAGTTGAGTGGGGAATTCTCTGGTGGTCCAGTGGTTAGGACTCTGCGCTTTCACTGCTGAGGACCCAGGTTCGATCCCTGATCGGGGAACGAAGATCCCACAAGCCTCATGGCCAGGAAAAAAAAAGTTGAGTCATTTTATGGACTTAGAATAACTTAATCAGTTCCCTATTGATGGACATTTAGATTGTTCCTGATTTTTTGCTACTAAAATCAGTGCTGCAAAGAATAGCAGTACATGTGATTTTGCAGGTGGTCAAGTATATCCATAGAATACAGTTGGCATGGTATTCCATTCCATTGCATGGCTGTACCATAGTTTTTGTGTCTAGTTGCCTGTTAGTGGACAACTCAGTTGTCTAGCCAGCTCTTGTGATCTCATTTCTTTCTCCTCTGTCCTCCATCCCTATCTCCAGGCACATGGCCACTCACTCAGCCCAGAAACCCCACCAGTGCATGTACTGTGATAAGATGTTTCACCGCAAGGATCATCTGCGGAACCACCTGCAGACCCATGACCCCAACAAAGAGGCCCTCCACTGTTCTGAGTGTGGTAAGAATTACAATACAAAGCTGGGCTACCGGCGCCACCTGGCCATGCATGCCGCCAGCAGTGGTGACCTCAGCTGCAAGGTGTGCCTGCAGACCTTCGAGAGTACCCAGGCCCTGCTAGAGCACCTGAAGGCCCACTCACGCCGGGTAGCAGGTGGCACCAAGGAGAAGAAGCACCCTTGTGACCACTGTGACCGGCGGTTCTATACTCGTAAGGATGTGCGGCGGCACCTGGTGGTCCACACAGGCCGGAAAGACTTCCTGTGCCAGTACTGTGCCCAGCGATTTGGCCGCAAAGACCACCTGACACGTCATGTCAAGAAGAGTCACTCGCAAGAGCTGCTCAAGATCAAGACAGAGCCAGTGGACATGTTAGGCCTACTCAGCTGCAGCTCCACAGTCAACGTGAAGGAAGAGCTGAGCCCTGTGCTGTGCATGGCCTCTCGGGACGTGATGGGGGCCAAGGCCTTCCCTGGCATGTTGCCCATGGGCATGTATGGTGCCCACATCCCTACCATGCCCAGTGCGGGCGTGCCACACTCCCTGGTGCACAACACGCTGCCCATGGGTATGAGCTACCCTCTGGAGTCCTCACCTATCTCTTCCCCAGCTCAGCTTCCTCCAAAATACCAGCTTGGATCTACCTCATACTTGCCCGACAAATTGCCCAAAGTGGAGGTGGATAGTTTTCTGGCGGAGCTTCCTGGAAGCTTGTCTCTCTCATCCGCTGAACCCCAGCCCGCCTCACCTCAGCCGGCGGCAGCTGCGGCCCTCCTAGATGAAGCACTGCTCACCAAGAGCCCCGCCAACCTCTCTGAGGCCCTCTGCGCTGCTAATGTGGACTTCTCCCACTTACTGGGCTTTCTTCCTCTCAACCTGCCCCCATGTAATCCACCCGGGGCCACAGGAGGCCTGGTCATGGGCTACTCCCAGGCCGAGGCGCAGCCCCTGCTCACCACTTTGCAAGCTCAGCCTCAAGATTCCCCGGGAGCTGGGGGACCGCTGAACTTTGGGCCTCTGCACTCCTTGCCTCCTGTCTTCACCTCTGGCCTGAGCACCACCACGCTGCCTCGTTTCCACCAGGCATTCCAGTAGCCCCAAGGAGGACCTCAGCTCAGTCTTGGCTCTGTCAGGGAGTCTCAGTATCTACCCCATATGCGTCCCCCATGAAGGCAGCTGAGCTTTCAGAGCTGAGTTCAAAAAGAAAAATTTCAGTATCTGTATGGAGCACTTGATTTGGGGGCTTGGGCTCCAGGATCAGCTCCAGGAGGAGCCTTGAGCCCCAACCCCATGAAAAGATGTCATACAATAGGACTTCAGGTATTTTTACTTTTTTTTTTTTTTTTTTTAATCTGAATCGGGAGCCACACCTAGCCCTCTCCCTCTCCAAAGCATCAGAACCTCCTTCTCTTTGGAGAAGGGAGAGGTCTCTTAGAGACACAGAGGGTTTTACTTTGGATGACCTCGAGAGAAATAGCCCGAGAAGCCCGTCTTCTGGTCCCAGCCTGCAGACCCCACAGCAGTTGGTCAGGCCCTGCTGCAGAGGGTCCATCGCCTGCTTCCAACCAACAGGCAGGAGAGAGGGCCTCTGTTCTTCCCCATCACCTCTATCCCTCCTGTCCTGGCACCTCCATTTTCAGTGTTTTCCAGCAACGGTACCGTTTACACAGTCGCCTCAGACACACCATTTCACCTCCCTTGCTGAGCTGTATAGCCTTAGAATGATTGCAGTGAACATTGTTTACACACCGTGAATCCATTCCCACCAGTCCATTCCAGTTGGCACCAGCCGGAACCATTTGGTACCTGGTGTTAACTGGAGCCCTGTTTACAAGGCGGAGTCAGGTCTCACTGACTTCTCTTCACTTGAGGTCATATTTTTCCCCTGTGGGGAAATAAACTGACTTTGGACTGCTTCAGTCTCTGCCACCTTCCATGACTGTGTCTGTTCCTGCCTTCCTCGGCAGAGTCCACAGGAGACAGGCAAGAAGATTGGAGCGGTTTTCTCACAGGTCTGCAATTCTGTTTTTCTCCAAGTACATCACGACCCCCTCATCCTCCTTTTGAACTGGAGAGGGGAAGAAATGAAAGGCATGCCCACTTCCATCACCCCCCGCCCCAGTTCTCTAATCCCCACCCTGAATGTCAGGAGCTTTTATCATTAGTCTTGGAACGGGGGACTCCGGTTCTAGGCTGGTGTGGATAGCAAAGGAGAGGGTGAGACCTCATTTGTCTCTCCTGTCTCTTCCAGGAAGTTGTGGAATTGTTGGAAGAAGCGTTTTCAGAAAGTTAGGACTGGGCAGATAGCTGAGTCCTAATCTCTGGGTGTACATTATTGCCTCCCATACCAAACTTTTTTCTTCTCTACAGTGTTCCTCCTCTCCCACTTTGCAGTCCCGTGGACTCAGGCCCACTGTGCCTAGGCTTCTCTGCTCTCCATCAAAGAACTTCCATCTTCCTTTTGTGGCCCCTCTCACTTTTGCCCCCAGTACTCAGCAAGTTTCTTGCAACAAATGATTAGTTCTTCTCTTCTGACTTGTGGGGCTCCCTGCCACAGACAGCACAGCTCTTGCCCAGCTGAACCCCATCCCTGCTTCATCTCAGTTCTGCGTGGGCTTCGCTCTTCCCACTCGTGGAAGGGAGGCAGCTCAGGGACCACCAGTGTGGGGCCCTCTTGAGACACTTCCACTCTGATTCAGAAACACACTCCTACCTCTTTACTGTTAACTCCTACAGATGCGGCCAGCAGTTTCTGGGCGCTTCTCTCAGCAGGTGCCTCATACTGGCTTCTCCACTAGGGTTTCAGGACAAACTACCAAGGAACTGCCTCAGCCTCTTCCCAGTCCTCCCCCCCTCCCCCTTCTGTCTAGAAATCAGTTTGGTTTATCATCAGGAACTGAGCAGGTCCAAGACCCAGGCTTCTGCTTCAGCCCAGGCCAGTACTCTTCCTTTGAGGTGAAAGCCGTATAATGTCCCTGGCTCTTGATTGGAAGCAATGTGGAGTGAATAAGCATGTTTTAATTTAGGCAGGCTAGTTTGGGATACCTTTTAAAAAAAAAGACAAAACCAGATATAAAGGCGTCTGGCAAGATTAGAATCAGAGTAGGTGATTTGCTTCTAAAAATTAGTTTCAGTGAGTCCCAGGGACTAATTAAGGTTTACTTTTAAAAGCGTCCCCTTGGTACGCAGCCACCTCCTGCATGCTGTGCATGTTATTGGGACTCGTATATAGGAAATGGTATGTGAGGATCCAAACAGGACTGCTGCCATTCTCCTTGTTGTCTCTGATCTTCATCACTAGACCCAGCAACCCTCACCCCTCCCTGCCACCTTCCCTGCATCTTTCGTTTACAGAGGCAAATGGGCCTCTGGCCACAGAATATAAAGTCTTGGGCTGTTAGAAGAGTTGCCTCCTCTTTGCCTGCTCTTTCCTGTCCCTTCCTTGAATACTCTCCCCCATTAGTGATGCTGGGAAACTCATAGGACAGGCAAAGCAAGTATTTAAAACCTTGTAACTGGGGCCTTGCCCCTCCTCCCCTCACTTCTTCCTTCTGTCCTGTTCCTCTTTTCTTCTTCCTTCAATGCCCTTCCCACCCACAAGGAATTTTCCTATCACTGTGAACTTTGCTGGTGCAGAGGAACATTTGCCTTCACCTTTTTTTTTTTTTTTGGACCATAGACACCCAGCCATTTCTTAAACCTCCCCAAAATTTAAAAAAAGAAAAAAGTCCATATTGGCCTGGTTGTTCAAAGGATAAGAATAGCTTTATCCTACTCAGTACCAAACTCACTTCAGTACCCTTACTGAGGCCATGAGAGCCTAGGGGTTTCTGCCCAGGACAGGAGCCACGGCATGTTGGCAGAGACCAAACGGGGACCAGGAAAAGGGGTGATGTTCCCTTCCCCCACCACCTCCAACCTCTGTCAGCATGAGCTGCCCTGAACAGTGGCAGGCAACTCCCCCTCTGCACAGTAGCTGGTCAGGGTTGAGTGCAGTCCTGGGGGCCAGGGGATAGCGTGCCCAGTTGTGTCAGCTCAGAGGATCTGTGCACATCTTAGAGATGTGAGAGGTAGGGAAA